GAATCATTACATGTTATCAAACGGCTGGTAAAGGTTGCAGCTGGTTTTCAATGACTTTTGTATAAGGGCACCGCTGTGAATTTACTCCAGAGTGTAACTAAAGTCTGATTTAGACTTTGCATTATACTTCCATCATTGATACACATCTGTAGAGTAACTAAAAGGTATTCATACATGTAATGGGAATAAAAGACACATTTACCTCTGAACCTGTACGTGGAGTAGTACAAGTAGCATCAAGTCAAGTCAGTATACAAATATCTCAAAATTGTACTTATAAGGTGGGGTACGGTACGTTGAGAACCGGCTGGAGATACACTTTTTGTTATATTCCATGGATAGCTCTGAAGGTGCAACAACTATAGTTTAATACACTTTGCGTTCACACCTGCCTTGTATAGTCCGGTTGAATCGAACCCTGGTGCGTTTAGCCGCTTGGTGCGGTTCATTTGGGTCGGTGTGAACACAGTCCGAGACCTCTTAAGTGAACCAAACAACCGGACTCTGGTCTGCTAAAATAGGCGGTCTCGGAGCGCTTCCTTGTGAACTCTGGAGCGGTTCATTGCTGGTGTGAACGCAATCCGCACCAAAACATAGGAAGCGTAGTATTTACGTGTCACAAGAACGCGGATATCTTCAAAATCTTTAGCGAAAGAGTCTTTCAAGACATCCGCGGTTGTTTAGTTAAAGAGTGAAGCAGAATGAAGTGTTGAACAGTGTCGTGTAAAGTAAAAATGCTCCGTCAGCTACATAACATTAAGTACACCTGTCGTCGGTGAAACGCCCCTCCTTACTGCAGAACGTCTCTCATTATATGTGTTATAATGTTTTTTAACGGACGTTGTCTGATTATATAATCATATGCGCGGGCCGCTAGTGTCTGTTGATCTCCAGATTAACAGCAGCATGAGAATAGCCTGCCGAAAGTGCCGATGCTCCATGGCGGAGGCTCCGGTAGAAATTGCCGGGATTTGCGTTTTTACCCCCTTAATGTCTGACCAATGGTTGAACAGCATTTCCATGCACATGACTTGTGTTTAAAGTTTATAGTCCCTTTGAGTTTTGCCGTGTGAATGCAAACTGAACCTTCTGAAAAATGAAACAATGGAACAAACTGTCGTCTGGTGCGCACCAGAGAAGCGGACTATTAGGTGTGAAACCAAAAAGGAAACAAATGGAAAAATACAATTTACCAAAAGACAACAAAATTGACATGGCAAACCTTTTAAAAAAAAATAGCATTAAAAAGGTTCAAGACATATATATATAACAGTACAACAATTTGAAGAAATACTGGAACAATCCACAACATGCTGAAACAAATGTAAAAGCTGTCTTAAAAAAATAAGTTTCAGAGTCATTGAAAATATGTTAAACTCAGTCCTATTTAAACTTGATTAAAACAGAAGATTCGTTTGACAAATCAGTTTGGCAGGTGTTGTTGAACCCTCCCCCTCTCCTTGTGTTCAGGTAAACCGGCTGTTTGCTGCTGTTGTCCAACGAGCCAAAAGGTCACAGAGGTCAGTATGGTGACACGTCAACAGTCCTCTTCTACCTCTTTCCCCCTTTTTTTGTAAATATTTCTCCTAAAATGATGCTGTATATGGATCCACACAGAGGTTTCAGCTACTGCTCCCAGTGCTGATATTTTGTCCCTAAAATAAAATACATATACAAATATCTACATTGATAGGCAAAAATAAATACACATTATGTATAAATCCAATTCATGGATTTTCCAAAATAAATTCTATTTTCTAATTTATATAAAAAAAAGAAAAATCTACATTATATATACACTAGTGATGTCCCATTCCTGCCACTCCACCATCATCGCCAGATTCTTCTAACGGTATCTGCTTCAATATTGATTAAAAACAGTATGTATCGGAAACCTATTTGCTGTAGCCACTTGATACCAATCCTATGGAAGCCCTGAGAGGCAAGTATCATACGTTTCAAAAAGGTATTTCCAAGTTACTTTAAAATCCAATGTCTTCTGTAAAATCAGCAGGGAAACATTGTGAAAATGATTTGAAGAGTGTTTGTTGTTGTAATACCCATTTTGGACGAAAGAGGGTAGAGCACACTGTGTTTTAATTTCTCCATTAAGTCTAAACCCAGATTCCTTTTTCACAGATGAAAACAAAATGTAGATAATTGAAATGATTATTCTTGCAAAGCTTCGTTTCACCTATTCTTAGATCATGAACAAAATAAGGTAAACTATTTAGATCAGACTTTGAAAATTGAAAATCTCACATCCCTCTCAGGGCTATTGATCTGATATGAATAAACGTTTCAAAGTAGGAGAATTCAGCGTGGTGTTACAGAGTGGAGCTTCATTTGTTTTTGTCTCCGCAGGAAGTGTCTATGCACTATTCCAGTCTGAAGCATGCAGACAAGCCCCGCTGTACTAGCCAAGGAGGATCAGGATTGGCAGAGGAGAACGTCATATACTCAGCGGTGTTTAATCGCAAAAACCTGAACAGATAACTTGACCGCAGATGGAACGGCTCTTTTTGTTTCAGTATAGAGCCTTGTGGAAAATACATATTTTTGTAAACATCCTGGGAGCTAGCTTCGTCCTGGGAGGTATACTACGAAGCAAGATTTTCGCTTAGCCGGCTAACTTCAGGGAAAACTCTGGGTTTCCGTTCCTACGAAGCTGGTTCTCTTTTTAGCAGGCTAGATCTCTATGGTAACTTATGATGTGCGGCTAACCTGCCCCGGAGCAGGTTAGGTTGCAGGCTAAGAGCTCAACCCTCAGAGCAATCTGACTATTATAACATTAGCGTTAAGAAAGCTTACTTAAATATCTGCCACAACATAAGTAACCGGATCAGAGTAACATGAAGTACAGTCCGCGGCATATCACATCATAATGTATCATATATTTCCTTATCTGAGCCAGCTGAGCCGTATCTGGCCGTGCAACACTCACAGTGTCACATACTGTCGGCAGAAGTATTATTTTAAGTAACACATTAAGTTGACGAAACACTCAAGACAAATGTAATTAAAGTCAGATCCACTCGTGTCTTAGACGGGGCAGTGATATCATAAACCTGTTAATATACGCATTCAAACACTTTTTCTTTTACCAGCTGTATTCACCTTGCAGGTGCAACTACTGTATGTGGCTTTTATCCTGGATAAAGTGTTTAAGTCATGGATGTTTAAAGTTTAACTTCTTCATATGTCTAATATTATAGTTGACTTTTCATTCAGGAAGTATGACGCTGCGCTGTCAGTACGCTTCTCCATGTTTGTGATTGGTCGAATGCTCCAAATACCACCCTTTTCATGTGAACGCGCACTTAACTAGATACGACACGGCTGGCTTGAGCGATCCAACTTGATAACCCGCGTAGTATTACAGTNCTCCGCCTCTGCCCAGGTGTTCCAAATTCCACTCAGCCATGTATATATAAAGAGAAGCTGGAGGAGAAGGAGGTCTCGCCTATCCTAACGCTGGGAGACACTCTCCTTAGAATACCTCTTTGCCATTTTGATTCATATGTCTAATATTATAGTTCACTTTTCATTCAGGAAGTATGACGCTGCGCTGTCAGTATGCTTCTCCATGTTTGTGATTGGTCGAATGCTCCAAATACCACCCCTTTCATGTGAACGCGCACCTAACTAGATAGGACACGGCTGGCTTGAGCGATCCACTTGATAACCCACGTCGTATTACAGTTTAGCGAGAGCGCGTATGTTTTGGATTAGGCCAACCGGCTAACTCAAACATATCAGCTTCGTAGTATAGGCCTCAGGTAGTCCAGTTTTCGCGGCTTTATTTAGTTTCCCATAGGGTTTATATTTGATTTCTGGTTGGGGGGGGAGCTCTGGGTCCTACGGCCCGTGGTGTGGCTGTTGCGGGTCTCAG